TCTATGTTGTCTTCTTCTCAAGTTATTGGATTCACAAGATTCTGAGAAAACTTGACCTCTAATGTTTAGGTCGAGGTCACTAATTTCTAGGAAATGCACCAATGCTGAAAATTTGAAAATCCCAGGTCACTTCAACTCAGCTTTATTTATATTGTGACAAACCACAACAACAGTTGCCTTTAAGTGCTTTAAATTATAAAGTAAAGACTAGGGCTGTGCGATATGACCAAAATCTCATATCCCGATAACGATATAAATCACAAAAATGTAACATGTTTTGTAAATTCTGTGAATCTCGGGCAGCTCGACTCAAGTGAAGTGTTTCCAGCTGGGCGTCGTGTACCTGGAGTCGAGTGTTTTAACCGATGCATGAAACGATACATTTTTAGACATAAGTTGTAACGGCCGCCATTTTCTTTGTATTTATTACACGGCGTGCTGCGGGGAAAAGCCTGTTCTAACGTTTGAGTCTACGGTTTATTTTTTAGCACCTGGCGGCTCTGTTTGCTTCTCATCCGTAAATAATCTGCTCTTTCACGTGACTCAGTTTAAGTCTCAACAGGATCTTGAGCTTTATTGTGAAAGGTTTACGTGGAAAACAAACAAGCGGACAGCAGAGCCACGCGACCGTTTTACCATCATTGTTGCTAACGACAACACGTAAAAACAGGCGCTTGTCTGTCTGTAGTGTGGTTATATTAAATATAAGAGAAAGAGAGAACTTTAAGAAACTAATATAGCCACTACAGTGACCATCAAAACGATGAACAAATATTGCTGTAAACTTTATATTTCACGACACCACGAATCAAACGATAGAGTGATAGGAAACGATAAACGTTTTTATATCGTCATTCGATATATTTCGTTATATTGAACAACCCTAGTAAAGACCCTAAAATAATGCAGAGGAAAAGAGAGGAAACCTCACATGGCCACCTATGAACAAGCGCTTTGGCAACAGTGGAAAGGAAAACCTCCCTCTTGACAGGAAGAAACCTTTGGCAGAACCAGGCTCAGGGAGGGGCAGCCAGGGTGAGGGGAGGAAGATGGGAAAAAAGAGCCAGAGATGAATAATAATTCATGATTAAATGCACAGTCATGTATAAACAGTGAGTGCAGAGAAAGGTCTTCTTGACTTATTGCATTCACAAGATTTTTGGAAAACCTGACCTTTGACCTTTTAAGCCCCCGTGTTAATTTTTGCAGCCATCAGCTGGAAATAGATATTTGGAAATGTCTCAGATATTTGAGACATTTAGCAGGACTGGCTTCGAGTATAAGTATATAAAAGTGAGGCAGTTGCCATACTTTATGTGATGGCATACCAAAACGTTTCCCTAACTACCAGATAAGTAGTGGGGGAAAGCCATGGCAACCAACAAGGCACTGAGGTAGTTCGACAACAGGGTTTTCTGTATGAGAACACAGCATCTGTTGTCTGTGGACGTTTACATGCATAAAAAGCTATATAAAGGTTTTCCCTGATGGGAAAGTGAAATAATATGTCCTATTTAAAGTTGGATCAGAATTGGACCGGCGTTCTGGGACATGATGTCTTTCTTGACTATGGTCAAGATTCACTCACTAAATCAGACAGCAACAACAGACTGAGTGAAATCTAAAACCACCTCCTTTCTAAGAGCTTTGTCCAGTATCACCAATCTGCTGCTCAGGTTTGTTCACCAGCATCATTTTTCAGAATTTCTGTATAGAGGGAGAGACAAGTGTCAGTGTGAAGAAAAGGAAAACTTTCTCCATCCTTTCCCTCCGGCATCAATGTTCATCGTGTTTCAGAGTCTTTCCACCCAGTTTTCACCCTTTGCTCCATGAGTTGCACTCAGAGCCTTGACACGTGCACTCTTTTCCCTGCAGCTTCTCTAGAGAGACAAACATTTTTCTTTAGTGCAGATTTTTCCTCTGTAAAACACACCAGCTCTATTACTCAACTCAGTGCAGAAGAGGAGACATGCTATGAGGAAATAAAACTCAAATTTAAAACATTTAAAAAGACGAATACAAAAAGTCTGTTTGTGGCAGTTCCGTTAATGACCCAAATGAAAAAGATCATATTTAAGGTGCCTTTGCAGCGTTTAGTCAAACAGATTGAAGTAACATATCGAATAGTTAGAGAGCTCGTTGGACATCGACAGGGAGACTGCTATGGTGATATTTTGTTTCTACCATGATTAACATCAACCACAATGTCGAGTCCCCATGGCTGCATTTTCTGAAAACTTTCATTCTATAATTTTGTGTTGATACACATGATGACACACATCAATGTCTTTTCTTTTTGCTCTAGCTCAACAAAAACCAGGAAGGAGGAGACCATTAGCCCATGTTTGTCCACTCAGCCAGCTGCTGCAAAGGATAAACAACATTACGTTCATGAAGTTTCAATATCGATTCCACTTGTAATACTTTCATTATTTAGTATTTATTGACTGTCAAAATAAACTTCAGTGAACACATGCCCGTTCTTCTTTTAGCAAATAAGGTTGTCGTTGTTGGTTCTAGAGAAAAATCTCGACATGCTGATGCCATGAAAAGTTGGTGCTATCCTGAAGCCAGAAGATGAAATGAAGAAACTCTCGCTCCCCGAGCTTTTCTCAGAGCCCTCCTCATGCTCCACTCCATCCAGCATTCCCATCAGCCTCAGTTCTATTTTCCGTTTCATGTCATTTAACAAATTAGCACAGCAAATTTAATGTCAGTTCAGAGCAGACACTTTGTCCTTTGTGAACATTTCTTCTCCTTACTTTTGTTATTGTTATTAATAATTTACAGAGATCCCGTAATCATGCCTGAGTAAGGTACTGCTCATTCCCCATTGATTTTCCTTTGATTCCAATTGGTCAGGATTTAATCAGCTGTACTGTCAGTGTGCTGACTGCTCTGTCAGGTCAAGAGTGTTTCTTTGTGATGTATCAGAGTAAGCTGAGATGGGATTAGTGAGTTTGTGACCAGGAACGACCTTTTTCATTTCATTTCCCTGTACTCCCACAGACAAGAGCTGGAACTGACAATGATACATTGTCTCTCTTTCTGTGTCTTTGTCTCGCTCTTTCAGATGAGCTGAGCCACAATTTTCATTTTACACTTTAAAAAACGGCTATAGACATTATTTTTTCAAATACAACTATGTGTCTTAATTATTGCTAATATAAAGAGTTCTCACCATCATTGGTAATGACCCCAATCCTCAATCAAACTGTGAACCTTTGCCAATCAGTGCAAGTAGTTTTGGAGCCTCGACATTATCCCTGGGAGGTTCATGTCAGAAATTACTCAAAGTACTGAAGAGTTTTACTCCAATCCTTCATACCAGAAAACTCTTTAGCGTGATTTATTGCTGTGGTGGAAGAATTATTCAGCCTTTTATTTTTCTAATATATCTCTAATTTTTCTTCCTGACCTGTAAGTTTAAAACATAAATGAACTTTAATTTACATTTTTCATACTGTTGATTATTACTTAGCTCCTCTCATTGATGCAGAATTTTAGAATTGTGGCAATCTGCAGTACACTTAACTGAACATATTTTACATACTGTTGGGTTCTTAAATTTGTCATGTAGTCCTGCAGAGCATGTTACATGCTAAGTAAGATTAGATTTCCTTTTAAAAAATGTTAATTTTAAAGTAACAAACTGCCAAATAAATTAGCAAAGAGTCAAAAAGTCGAGCAACAAGTCACGCCCCACTCTTCAACCCATCTTCTTTCTGTTTTCTTTGCATTATGAAGCCTTTATTCTTCCATGAGATTTCACACCCAGTGACATCTGAAGCTTCAAAGCTGTAGATCAATGGTGCCATTATTCTACATCCATTAAACTCTGCAATCCACGCTTATTTCATAATGAAAATACATTTCCAATTTAAATACTCCAGTAAATACAACCAACCTGCATAGTGCTTGAATAAACTTACTGGGAGACATGTTTAACAAATGCACCACGTGCTAAACAAACAGTCCAAAACAAACAGAGACTATAACATAACTCAGACCAAGTCTCCAATATGCATCTGTGGCCTTATTGTTCTTGAGTTTACAATTTGGGATCGACGTATACTGGAAAATTCTACAGAGTAAGGTAAAGCTACCCCTAACCCTCAGCTCAGCTAATCACTGTCGTGATGGTGGATGTAAAGAAGTTGAATAACTTAATAACTATTCACACATAAATCTTTGCGAGGGTGCATGGTTAACCATATATAGAGAAAAAGAATGGGTGTAGGAATAGTTTCTATAACACAGCATTTGAGACAAAGGCCACAGAAAGCTGCACGTGTTGCTCAGAGTTAAGAGAGATCAAAGCAAATCTGTTTACGGTGGACAGACAAATACTACAGAGAAATGAAACCTATCCTTAGAAACAGGGCTACCCTTTTAAGAAATAAATGTCACTGCAGAGTTTCTGAATGTCACTTTTGAGCGTTGCACACTCTCCAACTATATTACGTTCAGCTTCATTGTACTGCAGGGCAGAACTGTAAGTGACAAATGTGAATACCCAGGACAAAGTAAATCAAAAACATCCACAAGGACGGGTGAAACCAGCAGAGGCAAGATCACACAGCATGTCTGAATGTAATGAAATCCTCCTCCACCTACAGTACTCTGAGCAGGTGTATTATAAGGTGCCTTATAATAACATCCCAAAGACAAACGAGTAAATGTATTATAAGGTGCCTTATAATAACATCCCAAAGACAAACGAGTAAATGCATTTTGTCTGTGAAAACACAGCTCTGGACACAAAGGCAGAAACCTGAGGAGAAGAAGCTGAACGACAATGGGACCGGACACAGATGGGTTTAAATCTTTGCTAACAGCACTGCATGTTGGTTATTTCACTCCTGTAACGCTTCACAGTGTCCTGTACGTCATATAATTTCTTGAATTGAATACATAAACAAAGCAGACGGACGATGCAGAAACAAGCCAGTATAAAACCTTTAAAACACACACGCAGAAAGAGCAGAAGCGACCTTTACCCTGTCGCCGTACCTGCGTTTTTCCTCTCCTGCACATGTGGCTGCAAATCCAAATTCAGCTGCATAGAGTGAGTCAAGCCCTCCTCATTCCCTCCTTCTAATCCTCCTCTTTCAAAGCTCCAACAATAAACTCCAGAGTTCTTTTCTCTCTCGACAGACTTTTGTCCCAGTTCTTCGCCCTCTGTCACTGCTTCGTGCCCTCCTTTCCTTCACTCTGCCTGCTCTCCTCCCACTGCTCCTCCTCCTCTTCCTGCACAAACACGCTATAAATCGCCTCCACCTCCAAGGCAATGGCTCTGATTTCAGCCCCCACCTCTCCCTGCTGTCCTCCTCTGGCTTTTGCAAGAAAAGAGTTGAGCTCCTTCAGAGAGAGAGAAAGGTAGAAAGAGGAGAAATGACAGAGGGAAAGAAGCGGTGTCGCCTTACTTGCTGTCAAGAACACAAGAGAGAAGCTTTGTCGGAGAAGAAGCTTTAAAAAAAACCTGTGGAATTCAAAAGACGTGAGGCTCAGTTTTTCACAGGGTGGGCTTTTTGCATAGCCTGAATACACCTGCCACACCTGCTGTTGGACCATAATCAGACTAAAAACCCAGCTAGAACAGAATAAGACTGCATCTCTTATCCAGTCCAGGAAACACATGACATTTCATACATGTACTAGATAACTGTACCAGAAGCTAAACTAACAGTTGTAAGATAAGTTAATTGTTTTTGGAGGTTTTTTTGTTTTTTGGTAGACCTTTTTTTTAGCCAACTGCCACGACCTGGGATTAGAATGTGCAAAAGCCAAAAGTCACATACCCTAACTCCAGTCCTCAAGAGCTACCACCCTGCAGCTTTTAGATGCATCCTTGTTGTGACACACAACAGCTTTGCCAAATGTGATGGCATCCAACCATTTCATTCAGCTGTGTTGCAGTAGGGATACATCTAAAAGCTGCAGGACGGTAGCTCTTGAGGACTCGAGTTGGACAACCCTGCCATAGAGTATCTCATGGCTTTGGATTGAGTTAAGAGATTTAGATTTCTAGTCTATGTGTCCTTATAAAGCAAGAGAAATTAGCATGTTAAATGACACGAGCAAGTGTCTATTAGCTATGTCCAGATGATTGGGCCAAATAAAGGGCAAACCAGTCTAATCCACTACAGGTCCAACTCACTATTTCTAGGATGTAAAGGATGTGCTGATAACAATCACACTGACCTCAAGTGATAACCGTAAAGGTACAGAATCAAAGTGTAAAGCTTTACAAATATCACTCAGTAACCTGACTGAAAGCCTGCAAGAAGTCTACATAAAGCAACTAACCTTCATTATGTCCTTATAGCTGAAGGTCATGCGTGCAGATTACAATGTACCTAAAGGTTTATTTACCTGCCAATGAAGTGAAGTGCTTGACTTGTGTTGCAAGGATTATATCCTGGGCCACATCTGCACAGTGGCTCAAATGTCTTAACGCACATTATATCTGGCCCATCTTAGGCAGAACTCTGGCTAACTCAGCTTTGAGTCGAGGCTGTAAGTCGACATGGTCACGCAAAACTTTGGTGTGGGTAACACTTGGATCAGTCAGTACTATCACTTTTGCCCTGCAGTATTACTGCGGTAAATGACAGTGAAGGTTACACCAACACTGCGCTGTTGCTCACTGAGGAAAATGATTTAGTATTTTATTCACACACAACTCTGTGATACCGCTCGACACTGAAGATTAGGTTCAGACCTTCAACTAGTTTAATGTATAACCAAGCAGGAAACTTGGCTTTTCTTTTCATTTACTCCGGCCGTGACTTGCATAATCCAGGCACACATTCCCTTAAAGAACTAGACCTGCAATCAACAGACAGCGATTTACTTTTTGTTTTATAGTTTGCCAAATGTTATTCGAGTAAATTCATCCTGGGTCTTCTTTTGTTTTTCTGTGCCTGCAGGCATGAAGGTAAGCGCTATGATAACAAAAGCACCATAAAGGAGGGAGTGCTCTATAATTACAGTGTATACAGACCTACAGTGTTGAGGAGGAGCATGCCAAGAACCAGTCTGAGCACGCTGCATACCTGAGCTAACCAAGCTCTGCTGATAGGTTTGCTTGACCTACAGAGCTGTGCACGGACTGGCACCAGCCTACATCTTTGATCTGCTACAGCCCTATGTCCCTAGCATGTCTCTGAGGTCATCTGATCAGGGCTTACTTGCTATAAAAAATACTAAAAGGAGGACTAAGGGTGATAGAGCTTTTGTCACTGTGGCCCCAAGACTGTGGAACTCTCTCCCCCACGCATTAAGAACTGTGGACTCAGTAGCTGTTTTTAAAAAACAACTCTTACCTTTTTAAAACTGCTTTTGGTTAATGTTATGCCTGTTTTATTTTCTCTTTTTAAATCTTTTTATGACTTGTAATCTTATGTGCAGCACTTTGTGATTCTGTCTTGAAAGGTGCTATATAAATAAAGATTTATTTATTTATTATTATTTATGCTTCATTAAGGATGCAGATCAACAGAGTGGATCGGCGGGGAGGCTGGGAACCGACTACGGCTCTTATTTCTTCTCCGGAAACAGCTCACACACGGGGAAACTCAACTTTGTACAGGAGTGTCTGGAACGTCTGGAACAACTGCCTGCTATGTAAACTGTGAACACAGCTCTGAGCAATCTACCTGCTTCCTTTAGCATTTCAGGAGCTTACGAGGGGACATTTTTTTCACTGCTACACACACAGATATCATCTTTAATTATCAGTTAATCTAACTTAAAAATAAATCTTAGTCTACTAATACGGTGGACGAACAGCTACGCGAGGAGCAGGCGGGTTTTAGAAGTGGAAGGTCCTGCATTGGACAAATATTCACGCTGAGATCAATTATTGAGCAGAGCCTCGAATTCCAGCAAAGGCTATGCGTGAACTTCGTTGACTTTAACCCTCTGGGGTCCGGGGTATAATTGGCCATTTTTGACTACTTTTGATTTTACCTCTATATTTCACCTTTAAAATATGTTTTTTTTGCCTTGTTTGGTATCATTATTTTCAGCACAACCTTAAATATCTGAGATTTGAGTTATTTTTTCATTTTGGTATACTATATTAGCGCAGTTGATCTAAATTCAGACAAAAAATTCAAAATCCGAGTAGAAAAAGGTTATATTTTTTACTGTAAAACCCACAAACATGTTTAACGAATCATTTTCATAACTTGAAATGCAAATAGAAATTGTACATTTCTAAAAATTATGCACAAGTTTTGCAAACAACAAAGTTATATGGTACTATTTACCTAAAAATGCAGCCAAGGCCTCAGGTGTTTTTTACATAACCATTTAAATCTATTTACAGAACAATCAGGTGTGCTGCATCAAATAAGAAGGCACACAAATTATTTGTGCCAGTCCAAAAAATGTAGTTTGTGTTCAGTATAAGACAGAGGAGAACACCAAAGGCCTAAACCCTACAGGTCTGACAGCAGGGGGTGCATCAGTCCAGTTTTCCATGTGGGAACAGCGTTTACACTGGAATCTGCCTTTGACGGCTTTTTTAGAGCAAATATGAAATTCAGCAGTCTAACTGACACACAATGCAAGACAATAACTATACAACACACTAACTATAGCCTCCAAACACGCTAAACGTCACTAATGTCTCACATATGAAAACTCTCTCTCTCTCTCTCTCTGTCTTTCGCTCGCCCGCTTTCCGTTGCGGGTGTCACTCCTAAAAACTTCCCCTTCTCCCTAAACAACCAAATGCCGCATGTTGCCATATAATTTTTTTGATTGGCTGACATGGTAAACTCTAACACCAATAGGGAAGGGGTGTTTTTTCTTTTTCTTTTTTCACTGGCAAGCGGAGAGTGTTTGCTAGCGCTCTCTGTAGAAAACGCAGTTTTTACCGTTCTTCCCGCTGTGAACACCACTGTTTTGTTCAGAAAAAAACATCGCGTGTATTTTTTATCATAAGTCTGGTTTTACGTGGCCCATCGACACAATTCAAAAACTGGTATATAGTTTGAAGTCCGCACTTTTGAGCCAAGTTGAAATGGAGACTCTGACGCGCTGCATCTTGTAGCTGTGCCGTCTTAAATTGGTCATGTGATTTTGACGCGCCAGCATGTCCGGCGACCCCAGAGGGTTAAAAAGGCTTTTGATAGCCTTAATCGAGACACGCTCTGGAAAATCATCAAGTCTTACGGAGTACCCGACCGCTTCGTTACCGCATTCCAAGCATTGTACTGCAACTCTAGTTGTTGCGTCCGAACAGACAACAGCATCACGGAATATTTTAACATCGATACTGGTGTGCGACAAGGCTGCGTCCTATCGCCATTCCTCTTCAACATCGCCATTGACCATGTCATGCGCCAAGCAATTGGACCAAACACGATGGGCATCGCCGGACGTGATCCCCTGCAGCAGTTCACAGATTTGGACTTTGCGGACGATATAGCCTTACTTGCACCAACACTCCAGGCTCTTCAGAAAACAACCTCATCTCTGGAAAGCAAAGCAGCACCGATAGGACTCAGGATCAGTGGTGAGAAGTTGAAGATTATGCGAGTTGGTTACGCTACACCATCAAACACAGTGGTGACTGTGAAGCAGCAGCAGCAGCTAGAAGAGGTGGACAGGTTCATGTACCTGGGTTGCACTTTTAGCAGTGACGGGGACGTGGAGCATGACGTTAAGTGCAGAATTGGGAAAGCATGGGCAGCCTTTCAACGACTACGACCTATATGAATGACCACCGCACTGCCTTTATCAACCAAGGTGCGGCTCCTGAAGAACATTGTTATACCGACGGCACTGTATGCAGCGGAGACTTGGAAATCAACTGCAAAGATCAACCGCCATCTTGACATCTTCCAACAACGTCTTTGACAGCTGCTTAAGATCACATATCGGGATCGCGTTACCAATGAAGAAGTATATCGCCGTGCAGGAGTAGAGCCGCTCCATGTCCAAGTCACCAAGCATCGGTTCAGATTTGCCGGTCACATCCTTCGGCTACCGGACCAGAGACCTGCCCGTGTCGCGAGTCTGTGGAACCCAAAGAATGGAAAGAGACGGCGAGGAAGACCCAAAATAACATGGAGGAGGACTTTCCTTGAAGATTTACGTTCTGTCGAACTGTCATGGGATGAAGCAACAACTGCAGCGATATACCGAGTTCGATGGCGTTCCATTCTCACCCGATGTGCCAATCAGCGCGGGAGGATCTAAGTCTAAGTAAGTAAGTCTACTAATATGTAGCTGTGATGCATTAAAGCCTGACACACAGTAGCTTCCTCCTCTGTGCAGTGGAACTCCGATGTTGTTCAAAAACTAATAAAAAAGAACAAAATGAGTAATACTGTTGGATTGGGAAT